TCCCCGTCTCGCCAGCGCTGGGAAGCGACTCGTTCAGGCTAGCTCAGAAAACTGATGTCATATTACTTATGTATAATCATAAGATCACTAATCAGTAATTAAAATAGAACACATCTCAAAAATGCATTAGATTGCAATGCAAATGCGAGATGTGTTCTGGAGCCTATTTTTGTTGTTTGTTTAAGCACAAAATCAAGAACAGTAAAATTATTATCTTAGTGTTCAGGGAGCTTCCCAAAGTATGGGCTGGCGAAATATTCACAGAAATGTTGAATTCCAGTTATGATAAACGAGTTCGACCTCCTCACCGCGATGAGCATGGTAATCCTTCATCCAATAAACCCTTTGCTACTTATGAGAATCATTATTTTAGGAAAAAATATGCCCGTTATCGTTGATGTTAACTTTTACTTGAGAAGGTAAGCACATTTACTGGCTTTTTTTAATTATTGTTTGAGCAACAGCAGAGTAAGTCAGGAACAGAATTATATAATAAGAAAACTTCATTACAAAGCTTCTTTGAGTTTGCCTTTAAATGTACTAAATCTGTGAGCAAAATATGAATAATAATTTCAGCATATCCAATATAAATTTCGTTAAAATGGAATATGATCTTCAAATTACTTTTCGACAACATTGGCATGACTCTCGACTAGCATATGCTTCTATTTTCCACGGAAGAAATGTGCCCAAGTATCTGATAATTACTGATAAAGATTCAATATGGACACCTGATACGTTCTTTCTGGTAAGTTGTTTCCTTTGAAATAAATCACAGTGGATGAGTCTTTTTTTTCTAGAATGAAAAGAGAGCGCACCGTCATGATATCGACAAGTTGAATTTGATGATTCGAATCTATGCTAATGGCAGCGTGATGTATTCAGAGCGAATATCTCTCACACTGTCTTGCCCTATGTATATACAGGTGAATTATAGCTGATCATTTGCGCGAACTGATCATCCAACCTAAAATCGCACATTTTGAGTTATTTGACAAATTGAAAAATAAAATACTTGGATTCACCATTTTCGTTACCTTCACCTCAGTGCAAAAAAAATTCGAAAAAAGGGAAGCAAGTAGTAGTAAAGAGCGCCAGTTCTGGTAGTATCGGTACCGCTTCTGAATATACAAATAACTACTAGAAGCGATTAATATAGTTCAAAGGATTTGAACACTAGACTTCAAGCTGCGGGTATTAGTTCGTAGGATATGGAAGTAGATTTAATTTCGCCTTTTCATAACTATTTTAGAATTACCCTATGGATGAACAAGTTTGCCGTTTAGATTTGGCATCATACGCCTTTACTACGGACGACATAGGTTGGTCGACAGAAGCGAAAATGTGCACAGAGTTACATTTTACGAATAAAAATAGAGTTACAGTGTATCGATGGCGT